AGAAGAGAAGAGAAGAGAAGAGAAGAGAAGAGAAGAGAAGAGAAGAGAAGAGAAGAGAAGAGAAGAGAAGAGAAGAGAAGAGAAGAGAAGAGAAGACACTGACCTGCCCAGTCGGCATTATCTCACAATACAACAATGGATCAAATAGTGGACGTTTACACCTACTGCTAAAAGCACTCCAACTTTAAGGTATAAGAGTGGGCATCAAGCATGTCTCTCTTTGTGTGCGAGCCTGGGTGTGTGTTTCTGTTACACAACGGGAGAGTTCTTCCCATCTGTGCCTCTTTCCAGCCCCCGCATCCCTGACCAATGAAGCGAGAAACGACAGCTCTGCCTTGCACTCTGCCTCCCTCAGTCTTCCTCACAACACCATCCCGCTCTTCATTATAATCAGCCGGCCACTAAAAACACATTCACTTCCTTTACTATCCCTTTACCTGCCTGTCAAAAAAAACCAAAAACAAAACATACACACTAAGGGCCCAAACATGATGCAACATTCACTGTTATCAACATCATATGTATCTGCCCTCAGCTTAAACCCCAACTAGAAAACAAAACATCCCCGCAGGGTGTCTAACCATCATTTTTTATCTTTTGCTCAAATTCCAGATTATCCCACTAAATGTATCACCCCCATCCTGCATTTCCATCCCTGCTTTTCCGGCTCGCCTAATTTCCCACAGGGCTCATTGTTGTGGAAAAGATGCTAAAACAAAGAGGGCAGACAGTGGAGTGATAATCCTAAACATACCAGCTGGAGATAAGATAGCCATTTGCTGTGGACTAGCTATCTGGGTTTTGCTGCTAAATGAAAACATCTTAACATCTTAATTGCTAGAGCCAATAGCTTAGCATTGCTCTAAACTGCTACTTGCTATTTAAAAAAAAAAATTTTCCTTTCACTACAAGTATTTCTGGAGTGGTTGTTGAAACAGGATGCAATCACGCACCTTGACGATCGCATCCGGCCTGGAAAAGCATTTTAGCTGATCCCACCAGGACCACTGTGTCAGTGGTTCAATTCAAATAAATGAATTATAGATGCAAAGAGGCCTGTTCAACATTCAGGATATTAAGACAAATAGCAGTACTGGTATACACACAATAATGCTTTCGAGAATGAAGGTAGACAGAAATGTTACTTAGATTAGCTACATTTTTGCGTACTTGTACAGCTGTTAACACTGTTCCTAAACTTTCCTTGCTTTCACACTTTCTCTTTAACTTTCAATTCTTCTGATCCCCCTGTATAATACTGCTTGTGTTTCTTTCCCTTTTTACCATCTATCAGACTACCTCCTCCTGTCTTTCCAGTTCATCCTGGCACTGGAGCACGTGTGTGATGCCAGCATCCTGCTGCCTGTCTGGTCAAGCAGGATGCCAGTCCTAAATCTGTTACAAGTGAGTGCTAAAACACTCCTCACTTCCATTGCAGAAAACCAGTGAGACAACACTCCAAAATGAGCGGACGTGCAGCTAACCACACCTTGGTAAACAACAAGCTATATCTGAAAAATATACATATATATCAAATATTTGAACTACCCAAGCAGTGTTTGGCTTTTCCTTCTTGTGACCTGGCCCAGCCTCTGAAATGGAAACTTTACTGCGCAATTACAGTAAACTGTGCCCTCCTAATGTGCTTTTCCTCAAAGCAACACACTTCACTCCTGCTGGGCTTCAGCATGACAGCTCAGTAAGCCAGTACCCATGATTTCAGCTCCAGGCTGCACATCTCTCTGCTAGCGGTTTCTATTACAGGTGCCATAGCTGGAAGGCTGCACTTTAGCTGTTAGGTATATGGCAGATAATTGTAGATAATTGTTTGGAAAGATAAGACTGGATTTCTTTTGTTCTGCCGGTGAAGAGTTTCAGGCTGTGGTTCAGGGACAGTTTTCGAAATTCTGAAAGAAAGAAAGACAGGCAGGAAGACAGACAGTTGTTCGAATTCCATATTAACAGCCGCAAGAGTTATCTGGGAAAGGCTAGACCTGCCGTTTCAACGCAGACTGACCACATTTACTGTTCACCCAGCCGACACACATTCCAGAAATAAGCAGAGGTGGATCTTTCATCTTTCTCCCACGCAAGGCTGTCCAGAGGACACACAGTCCAGAGTGTTTGCGTGCACGCACAAAATTGTGCTAACAGTATCTCTCACGAAAACGTTTGGCTGCTTTGTGGCTTGAAGAGGAAATACAAATTACATGAAGAAGGGTCTAAAAATGCATAAGAAAAATGAAAACATACCAACATAATTCCAGCATGACTAAATAATACTCATTCACTCAAGCTTTCACTCTTTTCCCCCCTCCCTCCTCACAGAAAGATGTCCTACAATGTCCTTCGCCCTCCAGCCCACCTGACCTCTAACAAAACATATATTACAGACAGCAGCCACCACTCACCTATGTGATCTCCATGGAAACTGTTGTCATGGGATGTTCTACAGTGAGGCATGAGGTCATGATGGGCAGCAGGTGGCCAGATTTGACCAGTCTTGCGAACACTCACAATAGTAGCCTCAGACATGACCACATGGCCTCCCTGCTGCCGGTGGTGACGCTTCTGGGACTGCGGCGTTGGAGGGCTGCTGCTGTCGAAGGAGTGCTGAGAGTTCTGGGAGTTCTGAGAGGGTGAACGGCTCTTCTCTCTAAAGGGACGGCGGAAAGCAGTGGTAGGGCTGGGGGAGACGTGGCTGGACTGACCTGAGGAGAAGTCCTCCTCACTGGATGTCAGGTTCTCGTTGGAGCTGCAGTCCGGTGTATAACCGCCACCTCCACCTACATCCTCAAAGCTACCTGGGGAATAGGAGCGACGAGGCCAGGTCAGAAGGTGATCATCACATCCACCATGTTCTCTCATTGTGACTCCACTGCTGCTACTTCCACCACCCCCTCGTCCATCTCCACTGCCACCTTCACCCATCATCACCCCACCAACATAGACGCTGGAGTAGGCTTGGAACTCAGAGGGCTGCCAAGGAGGGGGAGGTGGTTTTCCCCCATTGGCCCTTCCTGAATGCCGTTGATTGGGTTCCCCATCTTCATACTCTGCATCATAACCACAGGTGCTTTCAGTGGACCTTCCTCGATAGACTGGCCTGGCACGGAGCTCCCCTGCCACCGTAGCCAGATTACCTGGAAGGGAGTGAAGAGATCTCTTTCGCTCCATCTGCATGGCCTGGCTGCCTAGTGAGCTGATCTTGTCAGAGACGTCACGGTCATTGACCCTGACTAAACCCCTGTCATGGTGGAACTCCATGTTGGTATATAGCGGTGGTGGTGGCAGCGGCTGCTTCTCCTGGCCCTTAGCTACATCACCTGCTGAGTGCGAGTTCGCCCGTTTGATCCTCTCAAAGTTGGATCTAAGAGCTGCCACACCAAGTCCCATTCCAAGCTTGTCCTTGGGGTCAGTGGGAAGGTCCTTGTCAGGGGGTGGAAGGGTGGGCCTGCGGGGTGACACAGTAACACCACCTCTCTGCTTTGATGGCGACAGGCCATCGAGGTTATCGCAGGAAGTTGACTCTGCTTGCTGAGGTACATCAAAGGCTGACTCCAGGCCATCACCGTGGGAGGCTGACTTCCTGGCAGGTGGAGGTCTGGGTTTGGACCTGCCAGATCCATCTCCTAGAGGCTGAAAACGGCTCCTATCCCCACTACCACCACCACCATATCCTCCACCACCTCCTCCTATGCCAACTACACCAGTCTCCTGCATGTGTGGCTGCTGGGATTGGATTTCAGCACCCTGTGTGGCTGCAGGGTCCATCCCCTCATTCAAAGGTGTCTTTCTGAAGCCCCACCGCTGTTTGTCATAGCTCTTTCTCTCTTTGGCCAGGAGGGTCTGGAGGTAGATCATGCGGAAGCGCTCCTTGTTCACCTCCTGCTCCAGGCGTCTAATGGATGCTTTGCACTTTTCCAGCTCCTGCTCGATGCCCCCGACAGACCGCAGCTCCATCTTGGGGGGCTCTGACTCTGGGAACTGCGCCTTCCACGCCTCAATGAATCCCACCGGCTCCACCATATTATGTGGAGATTTTTAGGGTGGGGGGGGGTTGTGACCAGCTCTGGTTCACAAACAGAGGGCGGGGGGTGATGTCAAGTGTGCACTGTTTTACCCTCCTTTGTTTTTATTCCGATCACCACAGATTCCTTATCGACAACAATGGCCACTTCCAGTAGCAGTGACAATGGTTAAAGGTAACCCGTTCACAAGCACACAGTCTAATTGCACACACTTGTCTTAGGTTGCGCAGTCGCAACAATACATCCCATTCTGAACAAGAGAAACCGGCTGTTCAGTTACAGAAAAACTAGGGAATGTGCGAGATATAGAGATGAATAAAAATCTGTAATCGAGTTCATAATTCTTGTGCATTATTCCAGAAAAGGCCACTTTTGAATCGTTTTTTCTCCCCCTAAATCAGCGTCGAAACAATGACAGTATGTCTTCGCAGGGTGACACTGGTGGTCTGTTTCCCACGGAGAAAAAAAAAAGAAAGAAAGTGTTTTAATCCTGCTTGGTTTACTCACTCGCTGTCTGTGTTTACCATCCCAGGTTTGTGCGCGGTTCATTCACTCTTGCCCATTCATATGGCTGTAATCCCAGGTGCTGCTGCTGGTCCTGACCAAGCGCCTTTGTACCATCAGCGCTGAAGGAGAATGGATAAAAAGCGCAAAATGCAAGCCACGACAACATCTGTTTAATAGGGGAAGGGATCAAGCGGTGGATCCGGTATTAATTATATTGCTCGTTTCGTTATCCCATTTTTCCACAGCACCTATGTGGTATTTTTTTTATCAGTTCCCTTCCAGATTTATCCCGTTTCTTCGGCCGTGAAAGTGCCGCTGTGCGCGCTCCCATCTCAGGCCAGTAGCACTGGAGGGCTGCAAGAATGGGAGGGACCAGAGCCACAGTGAGTCTGCTGGTTAAAGAGACAGAGCTGGGGTACACATATTTGGTTTTCATTGAGCTTTAATTGTCTTTTAAATAAAATGTATCCGTCCAAGCAAGTTCAAATACACTACTGTAGTTTGTCATAAATTAATGGCTTTTAGTAAAATCTGAACTCATATCCCATCTAATACATCAGGAAACACAGGGTACCACTACTGCTAGTGTTCTCGCTGCTGTATACATTTTTATTAAGAGCAGTTAATATAGATTAAGAATTATTACAGCTTCTGGGTTCATTTGAATTTTACCTGTGTAGCAGGTGTTACTGATCGTGTAGGTGTACTGCTATCTATAACCTAACACTGCCACCCAGTGGAGTAACGTACATACGGCGAGCGTGTAATGTAATTCCGTAGCTGACTTTTTTCTTAACCACAAAGTTCAGGTCAGCTCAATTTAATTTATATATCCACAAATCACAACAGTAGTGGGTCTGACCCTACAGTAATACAGAGACCCCCTATGAGCAAGCACTTACTTGGAAGTGGGAAGGAAAAACTCCCTTTTAACAGGAAGAAACTCCCGTAGTGCACAGTGAAAATGTGAGCTCAGGAAGTAGAGCAGCCCATCATCTAATTTGAAGGTTGGTGATTGGACACCTGGTTCCTCCAGTCTGAATGCCAAATACGGTTGGGCAACATGCTAACCCAATGTTGCTTTCAAGTGCATCAGAGTGTGAATGTTAGAACTCAAGCACAGAAAAAAGTGCGTGTATGAACGGGTACATGAAGCCTACTGTAGAAAGAGCTTTGAGCGCTCAAGTAGAGTAGAGGAAGAACCAGTCCATTTACCATAACTTCAGTACAATAATAAAAGGAAGAAGCAGACAATTCAAATGCTATGTAGTTTTATTTACCTGAAATCACAACCTCAGTAATGCATGGTAACCATTACAATGATCGTCTTTTGTTTTGTTTTTTAAAATATGGTTACTATTGTTCTTCAACCAGGTTTCGCTGAAGAGTTTCTACCGTCCCTTCCCCCGAATTAGATCACAGTTTTACAGCAGTTCATAAGGATACATTATCAGAATTATACAGAGGCAATAAGAAAACAGAACACTGTTGTATTGCAGGATTACCAATGAATCAGTGTCAGTCTGTTGTACTCATCGCAAAAGACTTCTTCAAAGTAAATGGGTCAGTGATCAGCCTACAGTAGGAGTAAAATTCAAATGACCAAAGTACAGTCAAGTTTAGCATCACTCATTTATCCACATTAATATTGTGCAAATTACCCAAACCATTACAATAAAAACAGTGATTTTTGCAATATATCTTAATGTTATCTGACTATAATACATTAGAATCTATAAATACAAACTGCAAAGCCTACATACAGCTGAAACGCATGCATGAATGTTTCTATTTTTTACACTGATGTAGACCTAAGACCATTCAACCCAGTGTTTTAAAGATTCTCTATGTGACAAGCTACCATGGAAGTTGGAAATATGTTCATCATGCAAGAGGGATCGTTGAGGCCGTTAAGAAGTTCCCTGCACACAAAACATAAGTGTTGATGATTTAGCATCTGCACGCGGAGGTACAAGTGTCTCGAGAAGTATGTGGTCACGTGTCGTGATGCATTGGGCAAAAGGAGCTAGGATAAGCTCCCAAACCCTTTTGAAGTACACCCTTACATATTTGGTCTCATTACTGTAAAACATGTCCTAATTATTTACTTTTTTCCTGTCTGCACAACGGTACATACTGCTGGTCATCATGGTGTCTGAGGTGTGTGAAGCCAGAGTGAGTGGACACCCTGGGTTGTAGGATGGCTGCAACTTTAGAGGCTACTCTTATATACGAAGCATTTATGAGAGCCAACCTAAAAAAGGAAGAGGAAAAACAGTTAGCACAAAACTCTTAAAAATGGTGACAAGTATTCCCATTATTTGTTACACTGTACATTTTCTACCACAAGACAAGATTTCGTGAACATAAGCAAGTGTGAGAGGGGTGAAAAGAACAGCACTCGGTGGCATTCACAGTAGTGGCATGTGGCCAAAGTCAAGTTGTTCTGTTTGTCTATGTACTGGTAGTCCTTAAAGACTCCCTTGCATCCCTTCAGTTACTCGTATGCTTCCCAATTTAATAACAAGACACCCATTCGTTTTGTTTTATAAGAGTCTTCTCTTGTTAATTTAGCATATCTGGAGTGTGTAAGACAAATGGATACTCACTCTAGTGACAGGGTGGCCAGTGGTAGGCATTGAGGGGGAGAAAGGAGAGAAAGAAAAAAAAAAAAGCACACAGCTGTTAAGAGGAACACGCACAAGCACGAATAAACCCAGGCTTCAAAACACATGCTAATGATGGGCTTTTCTCACGTCAGAATTTCCAAACAGTGATGCTTAAGATGAGTGTAGACTGAATAGGCTCTGATCCAACGAGTACAGACTACTGTGTAAAGCATGGTATACCAAACATAAACTAAGTCCCCTAAAGAATAGTCTAAGAGTCAAACACACAGGTTCTTATGCCATGAATAGCTCATGCCTGCAATGTTGTGCCGAGAAAACCGAAGCATTCACATGTCTGAAATGGTCTGTATTCAAGTATTATATGCACATACAAAAAATGGATAAGAATAATATTGAATATCATGGGTCTAAATTGTATTAAATAAAGACAGAAAACACTTGATTCAAAGGGTTCATGAGTGTATTTTTCTTAAAGTAAAAAAACAAAAATGACAACATTTGGGCGTTTTTTAATTTGTAATCCAAAGTCCATTCATTGGAGCAGCTGCTGTATTAGTATTCTTCCTTAAAATTTTAATATTATGATCCTTTGAATCAAACGCCATGGAGATGGTAGTCACCTTACAACATCCCCACCCAGTTCTGTCTCAGAACACACACACAAATAAAGTTAATGTCACAAATCAACACAAAATATATTCTTTAAAATGTTAGAGGGACGAGAGATTTTGTTCGTTGTTTTCTGCACAAGCAAATAGGGGCACACCTCAGATGTTACGCTTTAGCAAGACTGTTGAGGAAAAGTATCTCAAGATGAGCAAAAGAAAAATCTTATATTGAGGTAGCTGTGCTCTGCCCAGTGCAGAAAAACTTACTTATTTTCGATCATTATAGTTAAAAAAACAAACAAAAAACATCTATGAAGTTAATTTTCGCTCTAACATGGGGGACCATACACAATTAAATTAGAATGAGAAACACATACAGTTCATGCTTTGTCACAGGACATGCGGCTTTTGTTTATCAAAGGTTTTCTTTTGTTGTCTTTTGTTGTTAGCTAAGCATTCAAATGTTTCACTCCCAAACCTTCCCCCCCGTCCTTGTCTGCCACATGGAGCTCGTCCTCTCTGAAAGAGTTCTGAGTTTATACTGAAGACACAATGGTAAACATCAGAAAATAAATCAAGGCGGTATGTCTAAGCCACGCTGGTCAAACAATTTACAAAGCCATAAAAAAAGTTGCATAAAATAGTGTTCAGTCTCTGTACAGATCAAATTATTTCTGATATCCTAATTTTCCTTTTCATCAAGAGGGAAACAAAAAACAAAAAAAGACCGAATTTTGCTGTTTATACTGTAGTGACATAGGACATGTTATTCCCACCATCATTAAAATATGAACCATAAAGGCAATATTGACATGAACAAAAATAATAACTGGCAACGGTACATTTTCTTTCACACCAGCAACAAAAAGAGTCCACAGCTATGGGAGTGATGGTCTTCTAACACTCACATTTAAAGCCTCACCCATTCATTATTCCTATACCACCTCAAAACAGACGTCTTCTCAGTGTTAACATTTTATATTATTTGTTATGTGTCAAAGTTGGTCCTTTCTCTTACGCAGGTGGTGGCACGCAGAGGCACACACACTAACTCTACAAATGCACACACACACACTAGCTACGCACATTACAGAAGGCAGAGAGAGAAGAGGAGAGGGAAAGAGGGAAGTGATGGCAGTGGGTGGGGAATGGAAAAGTCGAGGTTGTGCTCAAGTCAGTCAGGACCAGAACATGTCGGCCATGTTAGTGTCGCAGCTGTAGATCCAGAGGACCAACGGGAGGGAAATGGCCACAAAGGGCCACGAGATTCCCTCCATACATGCAGACAGGGAGCAGCCTTTGGAGTTGGCAGGCTTCTCCAGGTCTTTACCGGGCTCCAGGTAGTTCCTGGCAGCAAACTTGAGCAGTTCGTCCAGTAGAATGACAGGGAGCGAGATCTTGAGCACCATAAGCCACTGGGTCAGATTCAGGGGTGTGATCTGGAAAATGATCTGGAAAAGAAGAAACAACAGAAACAGCAATGAACAAAGTAACAGAATTAGGAAATTTGCCAACACAGCAATGTTTCCTTTCTTGTGCTCTGCATCCAGATGACAGTAAAACAAACTCTTTGTGTCAAAATGAAAAATAATGCTCACTGGCAGAGGTTCCACATAGAGGATGAGGAAGTGAAGGGACATGGAGAGGCAGATGGCTCCCAGCAGCCACACATTCTCCCACGGAGGCATCCGCAGCAGGGACTGGTTCTCTGACACGCTGTGAGGAACACAGACAAATGGTGATGTTTGTTAAAAAGTCACTCACTCGAAAAGAAAAACTCATGAATCTTTATTTCTCACACACACACACACACACACACACACACACGGAGAGTGAACGTAAAAGAGGAGCTGAAGATCAACAGCTGGGAAAGATGCCTAACCTATTAAGGGCATTGCACATCTCAATCGTGACCAGTACAGACAGGGCCATGGTCATCGGGTAAGGAGACTCAAACACTTTGCAGTCCATGCCCTGGTAGTCTGGATTTTCTGGACCACACTGCAGAAAATGGCTCTAAGAGGCAGAAAGAAAAAAAAGATCAGCAACGTTCTCCAACAGAAGAATCTGGCATATTAAAGTGCAGCAAATTAGCATGATAGC